AAATCTTTTAAAATCTTCTTCTCAACCAATAGAACGATTTTAACTAAATTTGTCCTAGACCATCTTTGGACAAAGGAGACTCAAGTTTGTATAAACTGAGGGTGTGGCCTCTTTGGGGGCAGAGGGGCGGGGCCCAATAGGGGGAATAGAGGAATTTTTTTCTCCTGCTATACAAGTGAAGGGCTTTAAACCAAATGCAGTCTGAAGCATGATTGGGCAAAGGGAATTGAATATTAATCAATGGAAGATGCAACTTTGTTATTTGTACTCCTTTGATAAACCTGAATGGTACTCAGCAGGTTTTAAATTGAAAAATAAAATACCAGGTGAGCTATTAAGGCCCCTGGGCCTCTTGTTTTTTCTGATATGCTGAAATTAGAAACAGTTAGAATAACCATCAGTAATAACTCAATTGTTCTGTTGGTGCTTAAGGCGTAAGCAGTATTACACCTTGTTAGCTCACCTGGCACAAAGTGCCAAGTGAGCTTATGCCGTAGCGCGGCGTCTGTTGTCCGTCCGTCCGTCCTCGTCCGTCAACTTTTCCTTAAAACAACTTCTTCTGAAGAACGGACAGGCCTAGAGTCATGATATTTGGCTGAAAGCTTCGTTGGTAGGAGCCCAACAAAGTTTGAGAACGAAAATGGCCTTGACCTGTTTTCAAGGTCACAGGGGTCAAATATGTCAAAAACTTCAAACGGCCTCTTCTGAAGAACTAAAAGGTATAGAATCTTCATATTTGGCTGATGGCCTCCTGGGATGGATCCCAACAAAGTTTGAAAATGAAAATTACCTTGACCTACTTTCAAGGTTACAGGGGTCAAATGTGTCAAACACTTCAAACGACTTCTTCTGAAGAACTGGAAGGTATAGAATCTTCATATTTGGCTGATGGCTTCCTGGGATGGAGGCCAACAAAGTTTGAGAATGAAAACTAGTTTGACCTACTTTCAAGGTCACAGGAGTCAAATATGTCAAAAACTTCAAACGACTTCTTCTGAAGAATTAAAAGGTATAGAATCTTCATATTTGGCTGATGGCTTCCTGGGATGGAGCCCAACAAAGTTTTAGAATGAAAATTACCTTGACCTACTTTCAAGGTTACAGGGGTCAAATGTGTCAAACACTTAAAACGACTTCTTCTGAAGAATTAAAAGGTATAGAATCTTCATATTTGGCTGATGGCTTCCTGGGATGGAGCCCAACAAAGTTTTAGAATGAAAATTACCTTGACCTACTTTCAAGGTTACAGGGGTCAAATGTGTCAAACACTTAAAACGACTTCTTCTGAAGAATTAAAAGGTATAGAATCTTCATATTTGGCTGATGGCTTCCTGGGATGGAGCCCAACAAAGTTTTAGAATGAAAATTACCTTGACCTACTTTCAAGGTTACAGGGGTCAAATGTGTCAAACACTTCAAACGACTTCTTCTGAAGAACTGAAAGGTATATAATCTCTATATTTGGCTTGTAGCTTCCTAGGAAAGAGCCGAACAAAGTTTGAGAATGAAAATGACCTTGACCTTCTTTTAAGGTCACATGAGGCAGATATGTCAAACACTTTAAACGACTTCTTCTGAAGAACTGGTAGTTATAAAATCTTAATATTTGGCAGGTGGCTTCCTGGGAAAGAGCCAAACAAAGTTTGCGAATGAAAATGACCTTGACCTACTTTCAAGGTCACAGCGTTCAAATATGTCAAACAGTTCAAACAGCTTCTTCTGAATAATTAAAAGGCATAAAATTATAATATTTGGCTGGTGACTTCCTGGGATAGAGCTCACCAAAGTTTGCAAATGAAAATGACCTCAACCTACTTTAGAGGTCACAGAGGTCAACAACATTTTAATGGATTTGTTCTTGAGCAAGGAATGGATTTATGTCATAAGATTTGGCTGGTAGCTTTTTGGAATAGAGCTAACCAATTTGAGAAGGAAAATGACATTGACCTACTTACAAGATCACAGGGAAAAATATGTCAAGCAACTTCTGAAGAAAAATCAAAAAGCATAGAATCTTATGATAACATTTTGCAGGTAGTTTCAACAGATGGAACCAACAAAGTTTGCGGGGGAAATATTTATATAATATAATATAATATACAACATAATATTTAATGAGAATATTTTGCTATATTTACATTTGCCCCCGCGCCGTCCCATTACAACAGTGTTAGAGGGCAAGTGTAATTATATAGGCTACAATTACAACTGCTCGACTATAATTACAACTGCCTGTTTCAGGTGTAGGAATATGTAAACAAACAAAATGGCCGCCTGAAATGTATTTTGAGGCAGGGCAAATGTTTTTTGTAGGAATATGTCTTAAAAAAGAAAAATATGTAAATATAAAAAATATCTGGTTGTCTGGATGTAATTATTGTTGATATGATTACAAGTAGCCTCTGGCTCAAAATAGATTTGCCAGATTGACAACCATGGCCAGTTATTGTTTAAATAACTGGCCATGTTTTAACAAATGGTTTTATTACAAATAAAATGCCTAAAAAATATTTAAATATTTAATTATTTTGTAAAATCGACTTGAAAAAATAAATAAACAAATAAAAATTAAAAAACTCACTATAATACAATTAACACAAACAATTCCGCACACAATTTCATCTGCTGTCGTCTGCAAGTGCAAATGAATATGGACACGAATTCCGACCAAGAGAGCTCTATTGGCAACTATGGTGTAGCAGGAGTGAACTTTGGGATAGGAATTCCGGATGAAATATTTAATAATGATCTGCCTTCAAGCGACGAAGAGCTGTTACTAACTCTGGACTTAGAAACCTTGCAACAGCTGACCATGGTAAACGATACGGCGAGCACAGAGTCAGAGGTGATGCCTGCTAACACAGGGGTAGGGGATGTTTTAACTACCTACGAGGAAATTAAAAATAACAGAAGAGTTAAAGAGACCAGCGATCTTGGATACATCACCAGAAACACCAGCACCCCCCCAAAAAAGGTTTAAAACCACCACAGCAGAGGAAATGGAAGGCTTGTTTCAGGCAAGACAGGCCCCAACTACAAAGAAAAACACCGCCTGGGCACTTCGCATTTTTCAAGGTAAACACAAAAAAATGATATATATTTTTATTTTTTTCATAATAAAAGCAAACTATTTTTAATTAAAAAAAATGAAATAATATTAGCATGTTCTATAGTCCGCTTCTGTTCGTGGTAGAGCCTTGGGTATGAGTACTGTAAATATTACAGGTTATCAATCAAAACAAATGGATTGTCAGTTTGAATTTCGTCAACCACATATTGTTTTAATTGTCATACGAAAAGCAAGTCAAGCAATATTTGTAAATTACAGAATGGAGTGTGGAAACGTATGGCGAAGACATGAATTTTGAATCCGTGGACCCCGGAACACTATCCCAGCACCTCATGAAATTTTTTGCCGAGGCGAGGCCTGCCCCCCAAAAAGGACAGAACAACCCTGAAGCTGTGTACCACAAAAACACGTTGATAAAACATAAGAGGGGCAATAAATCGCCATTTAAGAAACTTACACAGGAACATAGACATTGTAAAAGATAAGGAATTCAAGACATCCAACGGGGTTTCAAAACCGACAAAACACAAGGAAATAATTGATGTCGAGGACATCTCCACTTACCTCAGTAAAGGTGCCTCCTCCCCCATTATCCTAAGGCAAAATGTGTGGTGGAATCTGTCTGTTCACTTTGTAAATCGTGGGGGCGAGTTACACCATCAGTTACGCACCAACTCGTTTGATTTCCACAATGACCAATCTGGGGAATATGTGACACTAAACTTTGAAACAGTTGAAAAAAATCACCAGGGCGGGCTAAAAGATGCAGAATCTTCGTACGAAAAACGCATGTATTCCACGGGGTCAGACAGCTGTCCTATCAAAATGTTGAAACTCTTGTTAGAGAAAACCGATCCACAGGCGTCAAATCTATTTAATCAGTACAATAAGAAAGCAATGGAAAATCCCATGGAAACTGTCTGGTTTGTCAACAAACCATTTGCCAAACGCACATTTCTGAATATGATGCAAGAAATCTGCAAATCAGCGTCCGTTGAAAAAAAATACACGCCGCACTGTTTGAGGGCTACCGCAATCCAGTGTCTCAGTGATGAAGGGTTCTCGTCCAAATACATCATGTTCATGAGTAATCACAGATGTGAAGCTAGCCTCCGCTCATATTCAAGAAACGTCTCCACTTCACAAAAAAAGTGTTTTAAGCTCTTCGCTTTCAAAAATATTATTGCCGTCAAGCGAAATGAATGAGCATCACGTTGAAATTCAAAAAAACGTCACATGCACATAGCTAGGTCCTGTCCCTCTCCCTGTCGCCACGACAACTCGAGCCATTTGCAACAACGCAGCTGTATGCCTATCTCCCTCCGAACTTGACGACGAATGTGTAAAAAACCACTCAAATAAACACAAAACTTATATTAAAAAACACTCCTAGTATGTTTGCCAGCTCAACATTCCATGGCTGCACATTTAACTTTTCGTGATGACCGCGTTTCGCAAAGTGACAGATCCTTCCGCAAAAATAAAACTCTGCTGACACCGTATTTCCAATCAGTGACAATCGTTAATGCTTTTAAATGCAATGTTTTGATAATTTATTAGTTAAGTTCAATTAAACATTGATTACTTATTTGACATATTTTTCGTGTTGTACTTTGTGATATGTTACCGCACTATTTTCTGAAACTGGACAGCTGACATGAGGTCACAGTTTTTGCTCCCGGCCAACCCAGCTGGGAGGCCTCCAACAGGGTACGCAAAATCAACAAGTAATGTCTTAAAAAAGAAAATATGTAAATATAAAAAATACCTGGTTGTCAACAATAATTACATTCAGACAACCAGTTATTGTTTAAATGACTGCTTAAATATTCAGGTGAGCGATACAGGCCCTCTTGGGCCTCTTGTAGTGGTCAGGCATATATACGTAAACAAACTTTCATATTGTGATTATTATTAACTATTTAACCAGTGACAATGCAATACGCAAAAGACTAAAACGATACGGACATCCTAGCAGATTGGGGCCAACGACGATGACAGAACATCAACTGCAAGAAATCATAAGAGTAAGTATACGATGCTGTGATATACATCGATAGCAACCACAATTTGCCACAATGGTTGTTTTGTAGTTTATAATTTAGATTTTGCACTCAGACAACGCATTCAATGCAAATATTTGTTTAACGTGGGAATGAAATTAATAATTATCACTCAGTAATGACGTTCATGTATTAACGGCAAAAAAATAAATGAGCGTAATTACTTTCGTCATCTTTTACATTCCTATTCATATTTTGACACAAAAAGAGTTATTGCCGTTGGTAAACTGCAAATTATTGAAACCATATTTATCTATTTTAGAACAAACTGAAATATCTTCCTCGAACTGTTGGGTATAGGCAGCTGACAGACGTCTTGAAACATGAAGGGTTTCATGTGAGAAGGTATGGAAATGCGTTTTTGCGCTGCCTTGTGCTATAATTATTTATTACTCCTTACAAAAAAATAGAGGTTGCAGATGAATCGTCATACGCTAACTACTGCGCCAACAAGACTACCTAATCGTTTAAGATTTTTTATTTCACTTGGTTATTTTTTGTTTACCTTAGAGATAAAGTGATGAAGTCGTTAAGGGATGTTGACCCGGATGGTGTACAGTTTCGACGGAGGAGACGAATGGAACGCAGGACGTATACGTCATTAGGTCCTTATCACACATGGCACATTGACGGGTAAGTATATGCACATAAATAAATGATTATAAAAGTTACGATACATACTGGAAAAGTCTGTCAAAATACAGAATATCATGAAATAATATTGGATATTATGTATAGAATAGGTTCTCAGCAGTAAAGTTAATTAAAGTAACTATGTCAAATACGCTACTGAAGAGAATGTCCGCAATAATGTTGCATGTGTTTGTGCCTTTGCAATTCATAATTAAATATGTATTTTAATTGATAATTGAATGTCTTATTCTATATGTATATAATATAATTGTCATTTGCTGAAGTGTTAAATTGAGTAAACGATGACTAAAATAAAATATTAAAATTCTCTAGAAACGTTATGGAATACATAAACTGCGATGTGTTCTTCATATGTGAAATAGTATTGCCCATACCTAATGCTCATGTTCAAGATATGATAAACTGAAGCCATACGGGTTCCCTATCCATGGTTGCATCGATGGGTGAGTATAATATAATATAATATACAAACCTAAATTTACGTATCGATTATATATCTATAAGTATAATTCTGTAAGGGAATACCATAAACCTTTCTAGGATGTGTGCCGATTTTTTCGTTTTTAATATCCGAAGTGTAAAACAGGGAAATGCTGCCAGAACAAAGGCGAATAGAAACGACGTCAATTAACTATGGCTTGAATAGACAATTATTTCGGGTTATCACTGTCATCAATGAGATTTGCATTCATACCAGCATGAACATTGAACAATGACGTTCAATCCTTCTATTTAAATTTGGAATCTTATAGTTGTTATTGATCACAATTCAGGTATTCACTTACGTTTTCAATATTTAAGTGTCTGTATTGTCAGTACAAACGAGGATCCTTGAACAGCTTAACGCCATCGAAATAATGCTTCTTACGGTTGTCTCACGTTATTCGAGGCGGGAGCAAATAGCGTCGAAATGACACAGATCAAACTGCGTTCATAGCGCTATGATCGCAATTGTAAATATATTCGTATACAGATCTATATATTTCCATTGCAATCCATGTATTTCGCATCACCAATAGACAATTAATCTGGATCGCTATGATCATATCGAGAGTATTCTTCTTTTGACCGCTTAAACCTCAAAACACGTTTTGAGGAGACTGAAATGGCATGATGATAAGATATCGCCTAGGTGATCTAGTACCGTAGATCGTGAGATCGAGGTCAGATCAAATTGAAAGCATGGGTTGTAAGAGTATTTTCCTTCGGTATTCGTGTTTCTATATTATATGTTTATATATATAATTAATTCATATAGGTTTGTCTATTATAGGTACTCGAGAAAAATAATATGGCTTAAAATGGGCCCGTCCAACAACGATCCCAAACAAGTTGCATATCATTATATGACGTGCCTGAAGATTCATTCGGGTAATGCTTTATGTTTGTCTATAAAAAGCGTTTATGTGGCTGCGTAGTATAGCTAACATTTCATGTTAAAACAATGCCGTAATATGGTACATGCTGATAACAAATAGTACCACTTCAGATGATTAACTAAGCAAGTTAATGACTCCTGTTTAGTGCCTTTAGAGGACCTAAACCGTATGACAATATATATGCTTTGTCTCCTATTGTTTTGAAATGCCTCACCTTATTAGCAAAATACATTCAATATACTAAATAAGGGCATTTGGTATCATTGAAAACAAAATTTAAATATTAATGTTTTTATGGTCATTCAAATATTTCATTTCGATATCTTTCACGAGTAGGCTTTCCATTACTGATACAAGCCGACAGAGGTACGGAAAACAGTGTTGTAGGAGCATTGCAGTACGTGTTTCGCGGTGGCGATGAACATACTTCTCTCGACAGGAGGATGTGCTTTCAACATCTTTCTTCCAAGTTGAACCAGGTAAGAAATCATACGATTAACACAAATGCAAAAATATGAATATCAAACTTAAATACTTTGTGTAGTGTTAACTTCGTCTGTTTCTAACAAGATTACATTGTCAACCTGACAATAGTTATGTTAAAACGTCACTGCACATATAGGCAAATATGGATCTTCAGTTTTATCTTAAACCGCACATATTTTCATACAATATCATTTGCTCATAATCTTACCAGTGACAGACAGGTAATTATTCAGATACATGTATGATGCATGAATTGCGCTTTATCATTTTGATAGGAATTATATGTTGTCAACTACATGCAAAACAAGATTAGACCAACACACGGTATAGCTTTACGTTTCCCGTACCAGTTGCACAACCTCGTATTTTACCGATGAAAACGCAAAGGAGACATATTATTGACTTGTTATTAACAAAATACATTTTACAGCGTATTGAGGCTTGGTGGTCGATGTTCAGGAGGAGAAAAGCACAATGGTGGATGGATTTTTTTCGAGACCTTGTTAACGCTGCAGCCTTTGACCCAAGTGATGAAAAGGCCATGTATGTTAAATATTGTAGATTTATAATTAGTAAATTATATCTAGCAATTACCACCAAGGGAACATGCTAAATAAAGAAAAAGAGCAGTCGGAGGATCAAATATCGGTTATCATCACTGATCATCTGGATATACGCTTTACGTTCTGAGTCGCAAAACAGTTTTTTGTTGTCAGGTGATTGACCCGATTTGACATTTTTTGGAAGCTGGCATAATACTTATAATAAACAAATTCGTGGAATTCATATCCCTCGCTTGCAGAACATATTGTAGGTAAACATTATTGAGGTTAGGTTTAACTTGGCCGCCGAGCCCTTAATGCGTTGAACCATGAAACTAAGTTTGAAGACAATCGGATATTTGCGAGAGTTAATGAACAGAAACGGCAGATAATGACGTTTTTCGTTATTCAAGGGGCCATAACTCTGCTACATAAAGTCCGCTAAAAGTGGTCATCGAACTTGGCCGAGACATTAAGGCATTTAACCCTTTTACAAAGTTTGAAGAAAATCGGTTAACATTTGTTGCAGTTATTGCACGGAAACGAAACGTTACAGACAGACAGACTATCAGACGGACGGACGGACAGACGGACAAACCCAAATTAATATCCCCGTTTCGGTGAAAGCGGGGGATAACTATCCTGCCTTTCCACGGAGCCTATTGACGGAAAATAGCCTTAAAGCTATGAGGTAATTAAAACATCCGTCACCATTGCGAGTTCAGCAGCCTCTGTGATGCTGCTAGGTGTGTTTACACAATGTAAGCAGACCCATCTTGCGTATCCAAGGGGTTTGCTCAGGGTAAACATCTTTTCTAAGCCTTTGAAATATGCAATATCATAATCCCACAGTTAGTCATGACATTTACGTATTACCAAGGAACTTCACCCTATTCAAAAACGATCACTGTTAACTTTATACTGCTACGCGATTCCATTATCTTGCATCAAAAAGATCACAGGTATACAGGAAGTCGAAACCTTTTTTAATTCCTTCAGAATTATTTAAAAATCCGTTAAATTAAGGACAACATTCAGACAATACAACACAACTAACAGTATAATGTAAATGTTATTCATTTGATTAATGTTTTTGATTATTTATATCTGTATTTGTTCTTTAAATATGCCCCTTTCGAAATATAAGCTAGTCACAAAAGAAGAAGTGTTTTCTTCGTCTGATCAAGACGACATGTCTGCTTCCGTGATAAAGCTTCGATAAATTGATATCCGAGCTATCTTCAATCAATTTGTAGTTTGGCTTATATATTTGGAAAGCAATACTTAAGCGAGTGTTGGTAACAATGAGCCACCATCCCATCCTTATTGAGGTTACACTGTCAACATATTTCTTTATAGGAATATTCATTTTTGTTAATGTAATTTTAACCGAGCTAATATTCCAATGAAAATACTGATGTATAAGTTTTAGTTACTGTGTTGCTACTTCTGACTGCTTGTGCTTAATACATTGTTATTGGAAAGCGCTGAGGTACTCTTTCGCACCACTCATCCAGTCAGATTTGGACTCCATAGCGGAACAATGGAATAACCATCAAATGAGCGTGTCGAGGAATTCAGGCTGTCCAAACGGAAGACCAAACATATTGTTTTCCCTTCCCGAGGCAACAGGTTGTGATATATCACGCTTAGCAGTACATGGTTATGTTTCCAATTTTGTTAAGACTTTTCGGTTAAAGTTTTAATGCTAAAGCTAAGATATTGGCTGCTGAATATTATACCAATATCGAAGAACACTATATACCAAAAAAATGCCATCATTAATGACGAATCTTCAGTTTGTTTGAACATGTGTCTTGTTTAACCATTTCTCAAGATATATCCCGCAACTGCGTTAAGAGAAGCACAAGTCCTTTATCAATATTCATAAGCTTTATAACGTGTTTGGGCATTTGTTTTCTCGTTTCGATGATCGTTAATTGAGCCCTTCTTGTTCTAATATGCACACACACATACACACATTAATGCTGTTAAATACATATGAGGATTTACATTGTTTTTAAGGTGGGAGGCAATGTATTCAACATTTGGAAGAGGAAAATGAGGTTTTCGGGTTTTCACAAACATTGGAACCATGCGTTTCTGGAGACGCAGACTTTGATAGAATGGCATCTGAAATCAGCAGACGAAACGACGGGAGCATTCCAGAAAACTGGCAGCAGGCTTTGCAACAGTTTTTCCACCTTTTTGAACACTTCAATGAATAACAATAACGCCATCATGATGGTGCACACGACACTTTTAAATTAAAAAGTGACAAAATTATATATATTTGCATAGTTATTTATTATTGTGCTTATGCATGCAATACATCGTGATAACATCAAATTACTGTACAAGTGGGAAATATGCATTACGAGTATGGTTTCATTATAAGAGAAAGGAAACATGTTTAGCTTATATGTCCTTACGCAAGCTAATAATTTCATGTGAACATATGAAAAGAACATATTCTAAGTAAAAATATTCATTTTAGATATCATAGATATATTTGTTTCATTTAACATGTCATATTTTAAAGGTATCATTGATATGGTATATGTTTATATGGAAATGACAGTTGTGATTTGTGTCTCAGACATGTTACATACAGGACAACAGGTTTAATACGGGAATTCCGAAAAAAAGTTACAATATTTTCGTTTGAAAAAAAGTTCACATTTTGTCTGTCACTTAACACGCAATTTATATAGGTTGCTGAATCCAATATTCATCCCCCCTGCATAGAGGACGGCATTGTCAAGTTTTTCATAAAATACATCCTTTTCCCGCATGGAATTATATACTGGAATAATCAGTGCGCAACCACACGTGTTGGCTCTCGGTAGTGATCCATCATTTGCATCATGATCGAACTGAACATGCACACCGACAATTCCCAAAGGGGGGAGTTCAGAAAGTCCTGTGGAAAACGCCAACAGAGAACCCAAATATATTACATGGTCATCCATGGATCTTGTCGCATCTGAAAAATAAGAACAAACGCAATCCTACTTTACTGATATTTACTAACCTTTCTGGTGTCAGGCCCTTCAAATAAACCACTTGTTAAAACAAGTGATTCCTGCAACAATCTGAAAAACTCTCTTCGTGCCCTCCTTCGTCAATTGCGATTTCCACATCCTCATGGTCGCCAAAATGCGACATGAAGTGGATTTTGATGTTCTTGTGATAATCGTAGGCATAGTCGAGGTACTCGAACAAATCTTCCACTAAGTAAAATCTGGAAATGTTCATACAATTGAAATGGCGTTCGTCTTCTGATGGGCACGGAACAAGTATTGATCGACTGTGCTCCTCTACCACGCTTTTTATTTCGACCATTTCACTGAAAAAAAGTAATCCAGCTTCACAAACCAATACATGTACTGATATACTTACTAAAATACACATCTGACCAATATGACACAGAATAAAGATTATTTTCTTTCTCATAATTAACGTTGATTTACCCAAGCAATCCACTAAGGATTTGTTTTCTTGAGTCATATAAGCTGACACCAAACATACTTACATCAAATCTTCAGCATCTACATCAAATCTTCAGCATCTCCAGTCTCTACTGGTTAATTCTGGGCTCTGTAACAGGATTAAGATGTTTTAAATTTTATTCTGTGAATGCAATTGTTAATGAAAAAATTAAAATAAAAGATAATTATACCATGTTGTGTCATGATATTGTGGCTGGATAAGATGCATTTGCCATTTGTTGACAGTGATGTCAACAGAAATTACAAAAACCTTCTTAGTTTTTTCTTATAGATAAAATATGTTTCTTGATCAAATGAAACGAGCTCAAATGAAAGCAAATTCTAGGAATTTATATCCCCTGCTTGCAGGACATATTGTAGATAGACATTATTGAGGTTAGGTTAAGCCCCTAAGGCATTCAACCCTGGTACCAAGTTTGAAGATAATCGGTTAACAATTGTTGCAGTTATTGCAAGGAAACGGCAGGTAATGACGTGTGTCGTTATTCAAGGGGCCATAACTCCGCCAAATAAAGTCCGCTGGAAGTGTTCATCGAACTTGGTCGAGCCCTTAAGACATTTAATCCTGTTACCAAGTTTGAAGAAATCGGTTAAAATTTGTTGCAGTTATTGCACGGAAGCTAAGCGTGACAGACAGACTGACAGACGGACAAACCGAAATTAATATCCCCCGTTTCGGTGAAAGCGGGGGATAAAAATAGCATTTTTGTAATCGAATACTTTTGGTTTGTTTAATTTGGTTGAACCTCTTATTAACAGCTAATGTCATTTAAGGACTTTGATCGTATCCAAACCCAGAACGGTAAATCTTTGCAACATTTGTTTGAAGTTCGGGATGCTACCATGTTTGTGTACGTGACAAAAACCGTTTTCCCTCGGGTACAGCAGTTGACCTGACCCAATGCGTATACATTGTGTAGTTCGGACTAAATGTACCATGCATTGTAGGGTTGAGGCTAATTCTATTATTTTCTTTTATCAATCGGTCCGTCATGACAGAGGGACAGATTGTCGGTGAATTGAAAAACGTTATACGTAGTGTTTTTTATGCATACTATTGTATGGCATCTGTACACTTAAAATAGATTGTAAATAAATTACACCTCATTCTTTTAAATTCAGATGGTCAACAGAAATGTGCATTGATTGATCTTGTCGGGTAAATCTAAAGATTTATCTGTAGAACAAAGTGTTACAAAATAACTTCCATGAAAATAAAATTCTATTAGTACATCAGACGAATATGAAAACAAATCCAGCTGTTTTAAAGGCCGAGAATCAGTGCAATTTGTGTATGTTAGTGTTATCTTGGACATTGACAGTATTATCTTGGACATTGACAGTATCAATTACTTTTGTCCCGGCAAGGCTACAGAGCCAGCTCCATAAGGTCTAGTTTGCATACATACATATATTTTCATGCAGCATTATATGAATATAATAAAACTAAAAATAGAATTTGATTTCTATACATTATTTATATTACACTTTTAGTGAAATAAGATCTGGCATTTATATCATTATTTTATAATAGCATATATTATTGCTGTTGAGACACAAAAACAAATGAATCCAATACCAGAAAGAATGAATAATATATAAACTCCAAACTCGAAATACAAATCACTGTTACATATATGTATCAAGTGAATCAACATCAAAGGTCCGGCTCTGTACAGTTATGTGCAACATAATATGTCTGATAATTCTGCTTAATTCAAACTCACATTGCAGATGAGTTCGTTGATGGTCGAGGAAGACGCAGGGAAGGACGCCGACTGAGTCTGGCAAAGGCCCTATTCGAGAAATAAGTAAACATAATTATGATGGAAATACACATAAACTTATCATGTTAACCATATCCTCTCCCGAGACGGTCATTTAACGTTTACACAATTGAAATGTAATAGAGGTTCATATACAGAAACCATTGTTGAACAGAAGAACTCGCTCTCCTTTTAACAACAAGAGATCCTATTTGCCTGCGTCGTTCACCGGGTATCAATCTCGCCTCCGAAACTTTAAAAGTTGGTTAAGGTCAAATATTTTTGTATCAACTAAATTAAGCTTCCACCTAAAATTCATGAGTAATGATAGTTGATCATTCAAAAGAACTTTTCCAAAGCTTTTAAAATATTTGACCCAAGTGACCTTGCAAGAGGGTTAATGTCAATTCATTTAAGCCAACTTGGTCATTTACCCAAGCATGTTCCTAGTAAAATCTCATTTCATTAGGCCTATTTGCTTATTCAGAAGTTGTTGTTAAATAATTAATGTCAATATCAAGACTCTGGCCTTTCGGTTTTTCAGAAGGCATTTAAATGACAAATTGACGACTGACAATCGACTGGCGCTGCGTCATGGCATAATATGATATCACGTCGCCCATCAAGCCGGATGAGCTAAAACTCTTCAGTACATATACTATATAGATCTTATATATCTTGTAAAATACCGATATCTTGAAATACAGAAAACCCATTTGAATAATCCGGGAACAGAGTATGTGACTGTAAACTTATTATAAAATAATTACGATTCTGATAAAACAATTACCATTCTTACATCAGACACTATTTAGATGCTTATCTAATTACTTACCGAACCAAAATCCAAAAACACATCCTTACAGTACCGAATACATTTTTCGACTAAACACTATTTTTTTTAATATCCGGTGGAAGGAGTGACCATTAAGATATCAAATGTTCGGATTCTACTTCAACAAATAAGAAGGGGTCATAATGTCATTATCTAACAACAAGCTGCCAGATAGCGGGTTTTTATACGTATAATTGATGTCGACAGTGTCATCATTTCCTGCACCGCACCGTGGTTTCAGTGTTTGGACAGACACCTAAAAGTTCATATTGTGATTAATGCGTTCTGACAGCTAACACTTTCCAATACGCATTTTTCATCGTTGCCTTTGTTTCGATATCAACAAATTAAAGTTAACAAAAACATGCGTGCATCTGCAACATCATAACAAAGATACAATTAACAATTTTGTTTAGAAAAAATTGAAACGAAACTCTAACCCATGACCTTAACCGACCAGAAACCATAAATTAATTAACATATGTGAATTGAAACTGAAACTAAAATGTTCGATTAAAGCATACATTTTATAGGTGTACACTTTTATTTTTTTCTACAGCTTTAAACTTACACAATATCCAGTTAATTCAATGATATATGACACAGACATAGTAGAGAACATGGTATAGTCTGGTCTCTCCGTTTATTATTATACGTTATATTAAGCTCAGTTTGAGCTACAGTAAGAATTTACAATTCCCATGATTACATTTTTAGCTCACCTGGCACGAAGTGCCAAGTGAGCTTATGCCGTGGCGCGGCGTCCGTCGTCCGTCCGTCCGGCGTCCGGCGTCAATATTTTACTTTAAACGACTTCTTCTTAATAACCGAAAGGCCTAGGGTGTCAATATTTGGCCAGAAGCAAACTTGGATGAAGGGCTACAAAGTTTGTTCAAATAAATGACCTTCACCTATTTTCAAGGTCACAGGGGTCAAATATGTCAAAAACTTTAAACATCTTCTTCTCAATAACCAAAATGCCCAGGGAGATGATATTTGGCCAGTAGCATGCTTGGGTGAAGGGCTACCAAGTTTGTTCAAATGAATGACCTTCAATTATATTCAAGGTCACAGGGGTCAATTGTATTAAAAAAC